GCTTGTATTATCTGTTTTCGAAAATTTTCAGAATCGATCTGGTGCAATCTCAGATAAGAATAGCCGAAGGCATTACGCTGCCTGAATTAGGACTGACCCAAGACAAGATCGTTCCTCAAGGATTCGCGATACAGTGCAGAGTCACTACTGAGGATCCAGCGAAAAACTTCCAACCGGATACCGGAAGAATAGAAGTATTCAGATCTGGAGAAGGTATGGGAATCAGATTGGACGGAGCCTCGGCGTTTGCTGGTGCGATTATCTCGCCATACTATGACTCTCTTCTGGTCAAGGTAACAACTGACTTGTTATTTGTTTCTGCGTTCGATAAAATCGATGATTTGATAAATCCTGATAATCATATTTGATTTAATCATCGATTCTCTGATTGACTCAAAATAACAATAATTAATTAATGATTTTTTTATATGCATAAATCATCAAAAATTAAAAACTGTTTAAAGATAGATTGCGTTGCTCTATTTCTAGGTAATAGCTCATGCGGCAGATCTGCAATCGTCTTGTGCAAAGATGAACCGAGCGTTGCGAGAGTTCCGAGTCCGCGGGGTGAAGACGAACATCCCCTTCCTATTGAACGTCCTTGAAAACCAGAAATTCTTAAACGGGAACGTGGACACGTATTTCATCGACGAGAACCCGCAACTGTTCCAGTTTCAGCCTAGCCAGAACCGTGCACAGAAACTGTTGAATTATTTAGGATCAGTTTTGGTGAATGGGCCTAGTACACCCTTGGCGACGAATTTGAAACCGGCTGAGATTAGGCCCCACATTCCGCAGATCGCTTTAGGTAAAGAATGACAGGAATGTCGACCAAATACGGTGATTCACTGATTTTTTTAATAAGATATTTTGAATATAATGACTATTAGGCAGACAAATTAATTCACTTTTTCTATGAATTGTCCAAAAAATTAATATCGTTTATTAAGAATAATTACGAGTTTAGTGTCTTAAAAATAATAACAAATTGCTTTAAATTAAAGATACGATTTCTGTGCTACTTTATAGAAACAAATTGTATTTCATAAGATTTATTGGTTGAACGCGTAAGGGAAATGAAATGGAAAATGAGTAGTGCGAGCAAATCTTTGAGTCACCGTGCATGGAGTAACAATAACGAATCGTTGATTCGATTGAATGGGTAAGATCAATCTGTCTCCCTTTTTTGGGACGAAAGCACGAAGGGGTTTGCTTTCAATGTGAATCAAAATTGGGTACTTCTCGAACTCTTTTCTATTCTATCTGTCTTGTTTTTTTTCACGTGATTGTGTTCAATTAACACAATTTTTTTAATTTTCTTTCTCTTCACTTTCCTTCCGTTTATCAGCATGCTTTTTACTTTTTTGTTTGCCAATTTTTTTTATAGACTTTGCTAGGCTTGCAGCCGCCGAAGACAGCAATGATCCAGATGCACCAGGTATGCTTCTTCATGATTATAATTTTTTCATCGTCAGCATCATCTGCATTAAGTGACAACGTAAAGGGGAAATTAGAAATGGAAATGAATAAGTAGGTTATTCAAAATTCGATAATTTCATCATCGTTCACATTTCGTTCGTTTGCAGACACGTGAATTCGATTGGAATTCGAAATTTACAATTGGCAATTGGAATCGGGTTTGTAGAACACGTAAATAGATATTTTCTTGTGGGTCAGAGTACTTGTCCAAATTAGATAGTAGTTTCTTGTAGAGGACGTCAGTGCCTACAACTTTTGTATAAA